ATTTTGGTAGACTTTTAATATGTTGGTTAGGGTCACTTAAATAGTTGTTTGGCGCAAACGGACTTTCTGTTGCAATTAGTTCAAGGTCTAACTTTAGAATGACTAGACTATTTACATCCTTGATTGTGAACTTATCCTGGCAGAGTTGCGTTGGATGATCAAGTGGCATGGTCAAATCTTGTAGTTCATGTATTTCTTTATGTACTAGAAGCTAAATAAATTTTGCCAAGGGATCATTCTCTCTTGATTTTGCACATATTGATATGTTAAAGTTTCGTTCTTCGTGTGATTTAATTTAAACTTTACCGTAGTTTCTAACAAATGAATCTTAGGCAGATGAAAGGGTAATTATTTTTTGTGTTTGGAATTCTCTTTTCATGACAGCAATTGTTACACTTCTTTCAGTTTGAGTCCTCATTCAAGTGTGGAGTGTTTTGTTGCAAACAAAGAGGGAAAAATTATAAATTCCAAAAACTACACTACCCCTTGGAAAAAGATTATGGTTTAAAAAAGTTGGGATTAGCTAGGTTCAGAAAATAAATGTTCAAGTTTGCATGTTTTGACAAGGACCACATCTGGCTAAATATGCTTCAAAGGGAATTTATAAAGTCAGGAAAATGGTGACATTTCTATTTTTGCCTTTCCTTTGGCCACTGTGATCAGTTTTTGCCATACAGTTGCATGTAATTTTTTACACTGTTTGTGTTTGTGCTATATATAAATGTAGTTAATAAAGTCAAATCCTCTCAAATCCTCCCAACTGGATATGAAAAACACCATAGGATGCCTTGGAAAAAATGTAAAATCATATTATTAAGATAATATATTTATTTGTAATTAACTGAATATCAGTTGGCAACTTGTGTTGAGGCAGGCAAGATCCTTTTTCGGAGACCATAAACATTCACTGACTTTGCTGTTACAACAAGTGGTAAAAGGGTATTAAAATGTGAGATCACCTCCGTGGGGTTGCACTGAAAGAGAGTATGGGTAGTAGGACACATTGTTTATTTCCCGTAACCCTTTTTAAGCCAAGAGACCTTATTTTATAATTCTGATTCATTTCATTTAGCATACACAATTAAGTTAGCTTTTAAACTTAGAAACATGGAAAAAACCTGGGGAAAAAAATGGTGGTACCAAAAATGTAACTATAGACTGCTCTTCATCAACCTCCACAGCCCAAACAGACACCCTGTTCAAAGCTCTAAAGGATGAAATGGTCACCACCCTAATCAGCAGCACATACCCATCTAGGCCAAATAAGCCAAGGGTAGTAGGCTTAAGGGACAATAACTTCTTTTGATGGTTGATATAAAATCAATTTTACCTTGTTTGTTTTTGTTGTAAATCAAATTCATAACTTACCCAAACAACTGAAGTTGTACATTTTTGCAAGCTCCTTCTGATTCTCTTTATAAACTTTGCAAAACATTCAATATTCTCTTTTTTCTGTTTCTTGTACTTCAGTCCTTTGAGGGATTTTCTCAATGCATACCCCTCTCTGATGTACTTACTCTTATTAGCAACTGGATAAGCCTCTTGTCCCCTCACTAAACCATTATAATCATTTCAAGTAAAATTCAGAACAACAGGGTAATTTTTGTACAAAGAATTTCAAGGAAATACTTGAAACCGAGGTCACTATCTAATACAAAACTACTAAATACAGTACTGTTGTTGGAAATTTATTGATTATCACTGCAATTATATTCCAGTGAAGGTTTTGAAGGTTCAGTAAAACCCTCCCAGCCTTCTGATATTAAAAATAGCTTATACTGACAGACCCAGTATATGTGAAGCAAAGTGACTAGAAAATTTACCCTGGCTTTTACTAATTTGGCCCTGTATTCTGTATTTTCGCCCATAAATATTTGTTGTGGCCTCGGTTTACAAACAAACTTACGAACAGCGAAGTAGAAAATTGGTTTAATGAACATTCCCATATGACTGTTGCAAGACTCATACTAATATAGTGAGCTCGTAGCATATGTTTAGGATAAGGAAGAGAGTTCTTGATACCACTGTAGGCGGAAAAAGATAAGAGATGGAGACTAGGCTGTTTGCTCGAAAATTCGCGAAACTTATAAAAAACTCAACTTGCCGAAATGCCGAATCACGCTAAGTGTAGTCACCCATGAACTGTTCATACATCACGCCTCCTGACATCCAAAAATTCCATTAAAAATGTTCTTGAAAACCTGTTCTTGATGTTTGGACGCGGGAAATCTCAAAACCTAGCAAAAACGCATCGTCCCTCCACGTCTGCATTCTCCGCCATATTTGTTTTGAAGGAAAATGGTACTCAGTCTCACTCGGTCAAATTTCTTAACTAGGGCATCATGTAAACTCGGTTCGAGACCTCGCTGCCAGCCCCTCCTGGCGAAACCGTGAAAAAAAAAATTGCAAAATCACCTATACGGCGAGCCGGTTCTCACTTTTGACAAGCGCCAAAGTCGACTGATTAAATTAAGATTAATAACCGAGTTATACGCTTCAACATAGTGGCGTTATAACGATGTTCTTCACAAGCGTTTGTAACCTGCGATCAGGCGAATTTTGTTTTTTTTTTTGGCGGGAAAAAAAAAAATACGCCTGATACAATTGTTTGTCAATTCGTCTGCCGCCCCCTAATTAAAGGATCTGTCAACGGGAATGTCGGCCACGTCATCAGACAAGCGTGAGCCAATCAAAATTTACCGGAAGTTGCTTCGTTGGCGGCAAATTTACAGATTAAGGCACGAAATGTCTCTGGACGAGCTGTGCAGAGGTTTGTGCAGAGGCGAGTTAAGCAGGCTTATTTTGCGTCGTGTCGTATGGCAGTTTAAGATGAGTTTTCCTAAGAAGGTGAACAAAACATGCCACTTTTGTGCGATCTGAATGTTTCATCTGGAGAAGGCACTGTTCCTCTCTTTAAGCCAACGAAAAACAAAGAGTTTTGCGGGAAACGTTTTTGTAAAACTGGAACTGTCATCCTCTCCGATGTTATTAAGAGCGTTGGAGTAGATATTGATTCTACCTCAGAAAGTGACTCGTCACTGTGCAAAAAATGTGCAAGGAAAATTGTCAATTGTTGTACTATGTTTCATGAGCTGGAAGAAGGATTTATGTCAAAGATCGTTTCTGCGAGCGAAACAAACGACGATGAATGTAGCGGTGGTGGAAATAAACGTCTTCACAGTCAGAATTATTCACCAGGCGGGTTAACTCCTGGTTCTAAAAGCAGAAAGGTTCTTCGTCCCGGAGAGCAGAAGGTCGGAGTAGATCGAGGAAAACTCTTTTTCAATTGAATTCTGCCTGGTCGGCGCATGAAAAGCTGGACGGTTCTGTTGTAAACTTAATGTGTTTACCAGTGACAGAAACTGATGTGAAAGATGATTACTCGTCAGCAGTTGTCAATGTGGGGGTTTACCTACTCTATTTCTTTTTGCTTGCACTTATGTTTATATTCCAGAAGTGAGACTTACTTTGTTTGAAATACTCCGTGATCTTGGCTACTATAATGTAACTAACTGATACACGCCGTGCCCTTTCAACTTCCTTCGCTCTCAGGTTTTTAGCCGCTATTTTCAAACAATAATTGACATAAATTGACAAAAGGAAAGAAAGAGAAATGATTTAGACGTTATAAGAAGGTAAAGCCGTTCTCTTTTGCAGTGCTCTTTATCATTCCATGTATTGTTGACAAAGCTCAAAGATAAGTTGGACAATTATTTATTTTCCAGTTTTAGAAATCGGCGATCAGGCTGCGGGTTTTTGGCGAAACTGCACGGAAAAAAAAAAGAGAAAAAAAACACCGGCTGATCGCAGTTTACAGTGAAGTGTTCAATGAATGTGTTCTCAGTCAAGGAGTGAAAGTAAAATTCTGTTGCCAATTTACCAACATGTTCATTTCAAACCTTTTAATATTCGAACGTGCTTAAAATAATTTGCGATGAGACCTTCTTTTACCGATGTACTGGCGGTAAATCACTTTCCCTTCTTTTTCTTTTTCCAGATATTTATCGCATACCCATATGGACGAGTCATTGAACATGAGACTAACCCTGAAGAAAAAATGCTTGTCACAAATTTGGCTTTAGAAAATTACAAAGCTGCTGCACATGGTGTTATGAACTTTGAGCCACTGAAAAGTAAAGTCCTGCTTGAACTGGGGAAAAAAGTAAAAAGGGAGATCAAACGTTACTCGAAAGACCCTTCCAACGTGTTCAAATATCGTGGTAACTTAGAGAAGCTAGCTGAGTTCACTAATGAAAGTCTACTTAAAGATGTAGAAGAGAAAATCCCCTCACTGCATACCTTTGTTAAGGCATCTGTTCAAGGTTGCCAAAAAGTGAAAAATCCTGTCAACCAGGAGGCATTAATTATTTCCAGTTACCTCAATCTTTGGATGCCAATTTCCAACTTTGCGTATCGAATTAACACAATTCTAGTCCTCGGGGGTTGCAAGAAGGAAGAAGTCGAATGCTTCCACAAGTTAGGCCTTTCCAGTCACCCCAACACCTTGCGTAATATGTAAAAAAAGCAGCTGCATCTTTTGACAAGTCTGTAAATGAGTGGAAAATTGATACAGTGAATCGCCACAACAAAATCAAATTACTTGAAGAAGTGATCAAAAGTCTCAGCGAAAAAGATAAAAATGAGGAGGAGGAGGAGGAGGAGGGAAAACAATAAAAATGAGGAGGAGGAGAGGAGGAGGGAACAAAAATGAGGAGGAGGAGGAGGAGGGAAAACAAAAAATGAGGAGGAGGAGGAGGGAAAACAATAAAAATGAGGAGGAGGAGGAGGAGGGAAAACAATAAAAATGAGGAGGAGGAGGAGGAGGAGGAGGAGGGAAAACAATAAAAAGGAGGAGGAGGAGGAGGGAAAACAAAAATGAGGAGGAGGAGGAGGAGGAGGAGGAGGAGGGAAAACAATAAAATTGTGGAGAAGAGAAAAAGAAAAAATTGAGGAGGGATATAAAATTGAAAAGGGAGAGGGGTAAGTAAAACATGACTTGTTTTCTTTGACTGTTTTAATAGATTTCTTTCAAATCGCTGTGTATTTGACTCTTTTTGTTTTAAACGGTATCTCGTGTCAGATTTTATTGCTAGCAATTATTAGTCGCGTGTTTTAATTGATCCTTGTTAAGTTATTTGTTTTATAATAATACGTCAAGATTCTCTCCCTTGGGTCTTTCCTGTAGAGCTAATTTGTATTCAACTTTGGGCTTGCGAACTCGCATAATTAACTGATTAACCGTGCGTGAAATTACGAGACTTTAATAGTTTTTCATTTCCTCGAGATAGAACGGAGAAAACGTCAGACAAAATTGAAATAGAGTTTTCAGTTCTACTTTGTGTATTTTGTTTATATGTATCCGACTTTTAGAGCTCAATAAGAAGACATAAACTAAACGGAAATAAAGACTTTTCAACTCCACTTTGTGCACATGTGTTTTGTTTATATATCTGAGTTTTAGCGCTAAATAAGATATAGGAAGCCGTTTCTCGCGTTGCTAGGTGATCGCTTCTCTTATTCCTATTTTCCTTTTAATAGACTGTCCGAAAACTGAGCTCAAGTTACTTCACGGGCAAGTCTAGGCAAGCCTATTGTTCCTATTGTAGTAGAGTGACGCTCATTAGTAAACCTAATCCAAATTAGCATGCAGGAAGACACTTCTTTCCGAGGTGACGTCATAGGCTTATGCATATCAATTAAGGGAAGGCATACGGAAGGCAAGGGAAGGCAGCAAAGGGGGTTAACTTTGCTGAAGCATAACTACTGGAGTGGCGTTCTTTCCTATTTCTCTTTTCGTCCTTTCAAAAAAGACTAGTAAACTGGCAAATAGAGTGTTTTCACAAGACGTCACGGCGGCCATACTGGTGTTCCAATACAATGAAACGGCGGCTATGTTGGTGTAGCAAGACAATCCTGTGGGAGTTGAATTCTTTTCTTATGCAAACGCTTTGTTTTGTTCCAATAAATTTGCATAGAGGCTGGCCACGTGAGTGAAAATGGCACTAAGAAAGAGTCTTCAGAAGAGATCGTCGGGACGACTGCTTAAATTTTGTTTTTAGCCTGGCTGTAGTCAGTAAATAGCATGTAATATAGAAACAACAGAAATAAGGGAACAGTCATTAAAAATCGTTTGCCAGAAGCTTTTAGTTAACCATAATCAAAAACGTTTTCTTCTCAGAAAAACAATTGTACCCATGCTTTGTTGATCTTACTATTTGTAGTTAAGCTGGCGCTTTTTCTAGAGTTTCATACATCTCAGTTTCTCAACGGCAACTTTCTATGAAGTGTAGAGTTGACGCACACTATAATAAATAACTACCATGTTGAAATAGAATACATAATAATAATAATAATAATAATAATAATAATAATATTTTTAAACAGGATGACCATTTCAGTTATAAAAACTGCTATCAATATGGGTCCTGTATAAAAATAAATGAATAAAAAGATAAAAACATTAATTATATATGAAACTGGGATACATTAAATAATTATAATCAACGAAAAAAAGTAGCCTCCTACTGAACAAAACTACATACAATCATTAAAAAGGGTAGCCCCCTTATAAAAAAAGTCCCTCTTAGTCAACTCGAGATTGACTTTATCATAGAAATACATAGAAAAAAAGATAAAATACGATAGAAAGAGAAATACATAGAAAAGATAAAATACGATTAATAAAGTACGTATGAAGCCACATCCTTCACATTACTCACTGAACTAAATATTTGTGACTTCTTCCGGAAGGAGATAAAAATAACGAAACCCGAGACCATCTGAGAAAGGCGAGGAAACTTCTTTTTTGCATCGGTTATTTTATATTATGATATTTACACGATAAACAGGAATTCGTAAAGACATTTTAGCTGTAGAGTATAGTCACGTGGTACTGGATAACTCTTAAAAAGGAATGTTCTTCATATGAAATTGTCAGTACAATTTGCTTATATGCGAGTTATTATTATCAGAGACAAACATATAGACTCTACCGTACTCGTTCTCTTGATCCAAGTGTCTTCGGATGGCGTGCTTCCAAGGAAATATCAGAAAAAAGACCAAGATTAATTAAAGAAAGAATGATAAATACTTTCTGAACATTTTAAAAACAAACATGGTCATTTTAAAAATATCAGATGTTTATACCACCAAACCTGCTGTGTTGTAATTAAGACATCCGTCATGATCATTACCTTACGTTGACGCAAGGGGCAAAAAATTGTTTTTTTGTTAAACACAGCATATTGTTGACTGACGTTTTCGCAGGGAGGCAATAAAAAAATCGTTTTTTCATAGCGCAGCAAGGAACTCTTAGCGGAATAAACTTTTTAAAAACATGGGTTTTAATTTAGGTCTTTTAAGAAAAGTGGAACTCTTCTTGATATCCACGGCTTTAACATAATCCATTATTTCAAAAAATGATGTTGAAATGCTTAATAGTGGGCCGATAACGAAAACACATGAGACAGTAGAAAAAGGAAACTTTTCACGGATATATGCGGCACTGTAAGCTACTGTCACTGGACGAAAAAACGGATTTACTAATGTTTGCGAAAGGTGCAAATATGTGGTAAATTTGGAGCTCTAAATTTGCATTACATTTGCGCTGTCGGCTAAAGTGTGGGCAAATACATATATTTGCTGGATAGGTATTAATACGCAAAAGTCAAGTAAATGTAATGGTTTGATACACATTTTCTCCATATTTCCAGCAGGTGCAAATCTTTAACATTTTTACCAATTTACTCAAATTTACATTCTTGGCAAAGATGGCAGTTTTCGCTGTACTTCAAATGCAGGCAAAAATATTGCAAAAAATAGTATGTGTTTTTCATAATAGCATTGTCATACATATACTGCAGGGTTCTTTCTATATTTCCAACTACATTTATACTGATTCCAGAATATTAAGGGCATCATACTGGATTTATTCATTGTAGTTTTGACTGACCACCTAAAGATGACCACATCTTTGATGGTGGGCTTCCTAAAAATGACGACATTTTGAAAGCCTCACAGCCAATACTACAACAAATGGAGAAACTGCTCACAATTTTATTTGAACATTAACTCAGAAGACAAAGTTATGAAAGGCTAATTTTTCTTGCTCTTTTGTTTGCAACCCTGAGTTGGAGTTTCACTGATTCTAGTGATGATTTTACGTTTTACTGTTCATTAAGTACTACCAATTCAATCTAAAAAAGTCATAGCATTTTTGCAGGCTAAAATTCACCTGAAACCTGATTATTGGATCTTGGGATATATGCAAGGAGGGGGGAGGGGTTGGTGTCCCAAAATAATTCTGATGAATAGAGGCTCTTCATATTCTACAGGAGCTACCCGTCAATCAAATCCCACCCGACTCCCGACCCCCGACCCCCCCTGCCCCATAAAAAATGAGCAGACTCTTATTGGGTTAGAGGAGCTCTAAGAGAGCTTTAGATCATGAGATTTTTAGAGCTATAAAGAAAACAAACTAAGCCGGTGAAACAGATTAACATGTAGCATTCATCCTTCCGGTCTTTTTTTAAGTCCATTTCTAAATCACGTAACCACTTTGAAGTGAGTCAATGGTACATAACCAGGGTATGTGTTGCATTCCTCTTCTGTCATTTGATTAATGTATTTTGTGTACATCATATTAAAAAGCTAACATGTAAGTAGCAAGGCCACCCACATTACCCTCAATTTGGTCCAAAACAAAAACGTCCGCGGATTTCAAAGTCAGGGTTGTCATTATTCACTTGTACATAATTTCCTCATGGTCGTTTATTCAACAAACTTAATTCACATGAAAACCGACAATTTTATTTTTACCGGTATTTGTTGTAGTTTTGACTGACCACCTAAAGATGACCACACCTTGATGGTGGGCTTCCTAAAAATGACCACATTTTGAAAGCCCAACAGCCAGTACTGTAACAAAATATGGTGAAAGAGCTGACAATAATTTTATTTGAACATTAACTCAGCAGACAAATTTATGAAAGGCTACTTTTTATTACTCTTTTGTTTGCTACCCTGATTTTGAGTTTTACTGTTCATTAAGTACTACCTATTCAATTGGAGCTAAAAAAGTCATAGCATTTTTGCAGGCTAAATTCACCTGAAACCTGATTATTTGATCTTGGGATACTACGGGAAGCGGGGTTGGCATCCCAAAAAAATTCTGCTGAAGAGAGGGTCCTCATATTCTACAGGAGCTACCCATCAAATCCCACCCAACAGATCCCCCCCCTCCCTGCCTCATAAAAAATGAGCAGACTCTTATTGGGTTACAGGAGCTCTGTGAGGGCTTTGGATCATGAGAAGATT